CATGGTCCAAGAGCTTGCCTTGTCCAGGAGCTTGCATGGTCCAGAAGCTTGCCTAGTCCAGGAGCTTGCCTGGTCCAAAAGCGTGGTTTGTCGAGGAGCTTGCCTGTTCTAGGAGCTTGCTTGGTCCAGAAGCCTGCCTCGTCCAAGAGCTTGCCTAGTCCAAGAGCGTGCCTGGTCCAAGAGCTTGCATGGTAACAGGAGCTTGCCTGGTCCAGGAGCTTGCTTGGTCCAGAAGCCTGCCTGGTCTAAGAGCTTGCCTGGTCCAAAAGCGTGCCTAGTCCAAGAGCTTGCATGGTCTAGGAGCTTGCCTCGTCCAGGAGCTTGCCTCGTCAAGGAGCGTGCTTGGTCCACGAGGTTGCCTGTTCCAGGAGCGTGCCTGGTCCAGGAGCGTGCCTGGTCCAGGAGCTTGCGTGGTCCAAGAGCTTGCCTGGTCCAAGAGCGTGCCTGGTCCAAGAGCTTGCCTGGTCCAGGAGCGTGCCTGGTCCACAAGTGTGCCTGGTCCAGGAGCTTGCTTGGTCGAGGAGCTTGCCTGGTCCAGGAGCCTGCCTGGTCCACGAACTTGCCTGGTCCAGGAGCTTGCGTGGTCAAGGAGCTTGCTTGGTCCAGAAGCCTGCCTGGTCCAAGAGCGTGCCTGGTCCACGAGCATGCCTGGTCCAAGAGCTTGCGAGGTCCAGGAGCTTGCCTTAACCAAGAGCTTGCCTGGTCCACGAGCTTGCCTGGTCCAGGAGCTTGCCTGGTCCAGAAGCGTGCCTAGTCCAAAAGCTTGCCTAGTCAAGGAGCTTGCCTGGTCCAGGAGCTTGCCTGGTCCAAGAGCTTGCCTGGTCCAGGATCTCCTTGGTCCAGAAGCTTGCCTGATCCCAGAGCTTGCTTGGTCCAGGAGCGTGCCTAGTCCAAGAGATTGCATGGTCCAGGAGCTTGCCTGGTCCAAGTGATTGCCTGGTCCAAGATCGTGCCTGGTCCACGAGCGTGCCTGGTCCAGGAGCTTGCCTCGTCCAGGAGCTTGCGTGGTCCAGAAGCTTGCCTGGTCTAGGAGCTTGCGTGGTCCAGGAGCTTGCCTGGTCCACGAGCTTGCATGGTCCACGAGCTTGCCTGGTCCAAGTGCTTGCGTGGTTTAGGAGCTTGCCTAGTCGAGGAGCTTGCCTGGTCCAGGAGTGTGCCTGGTCCACAAGCTTGCCTGGTCGAGGAGTTTGCCTGGTCCAGGACCTTGCCTGGTCTAGGAGCTTGCCTTGTCCAGGAGCGTGCCTGGTCCAGGAGCGTTCCTGGTCCAGGAGCTTGCCTGGTCCATGAGCTTGCCTGGTCCAAGATCTTGCCTGGTCCAGGAGCGTGCCTGGTCCACGAGTTTGCCCAGTCTAGGAGCTTGCCTTGCCAGGAGCTTGACCAGTCCAGGAGCTTGCCCGGTCCAAGAGATTGCCTGGTCCAGGAGCGTGCCTGGTCCAAGAGCTTGCGTGGTCCAGGAGCTTGCCTGGTCCAGGAGCTTGCCTGGTCAGGGAGCGTGCCTGGTCCAGGAGCTTGCCTGGTCCAGGAGCTTGCCTGGTCTAGGAGCTTGCCTGGTCTAGGATCTTGCCTGGTCTAGGAGCGTGCCTGGTCCAGGAGCTTGCCTGGTCCAGGAGCTTGCCTGGTACAGGAGCTTTCGTGTTCCAGAAGCTTTCCTGGTCAAGGAGCTTGCCGTGTCCTGGAGCTTGCCTGGTCCTGGAGCGTGCCTCGTCCACGAGTTTGCCTGGTCCAGGAGCTTGCCTGGTCCAGGAGCGTGCCTGGTACAGGAGCTTGCCAAGTCCAGGAGCTTGTAAGGTCCAGGAGCTTGACTGGTCCAGGAGCTTGCCTCGTCTAGGAACTTGCCTGGTCCAGGAGCATGCCCGGTCCATGAGCTTGCCTGGTCCAGGAGCTTCCTTGGACCAGGAGCTTGCCTAGTCCAAGAGATTACCTGGTCCAGGAGCTTGCCTGGTCCAGAAGCTTGCGTGGTCCAGGAGCTTGCCAGGTCCAGGAGCTTGCTTGGTCTAAATGCCTGCCTGGTCCAAGAGCTTGCCTGGTCCAATAGCGTGCTTGGTTTAAGAGCTTGCCTGGTCCAGGAGCTTGCTTGGTCCAGGAGCTTGCCTGGTCTGGGAGTGTGCCTGGTCCACGAGCTTGCTTGGTCTAGGAGCTTGCCTGGTCAAGGAGCTTGCCTGGTCCAGAAGCGTGCTTGGTCCACGAGCTTGCGTGGTCCAGGAGCGTGCCTGGTCTAGGAGCATGCCTACTCCACGAGCGTGCCTGGTTTAGGAGCTTGCCTGGTCCAGGAGCATGCCTTGTCCGGGAGCATGCCTACTCCACGAGCATGCCTGGTCCAGGAGCTTGCCTGGTCCAGGAGCTTGCTTGGTCCACGAGCCTGCATGGTCCAAGAGCTTGCCTGGTCCAGGAGCGTGCCTGGTCCAAGAGCATGCTTGGTCCACGAGCTTGCCTGGTCCAGAAGCTTGCCTAGTCCAGGAGCTTGCCAGGTCCAGGAGCTTGCCTGGTCCAAGAGCTTGCTTGGTCCAGAAGCGTGCCTCGTCCAAGAGCTTGACTGGTCCAGGAGCCTGCCTGGTCCAAGAGCTTGCGTGGTCCTGGAGCTTGCCTGGTCTAGGAGCTTGCCTGGTCAAAGAGCGTACCTGGTCCACTAACGTGCCTGGTCCAGGAGCTTGCCTGGTTGAGGAGCTTGCCTTGTCCAGGAGCGTGCCTGGTCCACGAGCCTGCGTGGTCCAAGAGCTTGCCTGGTCCAGGAGCGTGCCTTGTCCACGAGCGTGCCTCGTCCATGAGCTTGCCTGGTCCATGAGTTTGCCTGGTCCAGGAGCGTGCCTCGTCCATGAGCTTGCCTGGTCCAGGAGCGTGCCTCGTCCATGAGCTTGCCTGGTCCATGAGTTTGCCTGGTCCAGGACCTTGCCTGGTCTAGGAGCTTGCCTGGTCCAAGAGCGTGCCTGGTCCAAGAGCGTTCCTAATCCAAGAGCTTGCGTGGTCCATGAGCTTGGCTGGACCAGGATCTTGCCTGGTCGAGGAGCGTGCCTGGTCCACGAGCTTGCCTGGTCCAGGAGCGTGCCTGGTCCACGAGTTTGCCTGGTCCAGGAGCTTGCCTTGTCCAGCAGCTTGCCCGGTCCAGAAGCCTACCTGGTCCAAGAGCTTGCGTGGTCCAGGAGCTTGCCTGGTCAAGGAGCTTGCCTGGTCCAGGAGCGTGCCTGGTCTAGGAGCTTGCCTGGTCCAGGAGCTTGCCTAGTTCAGGAGCTTGCCTGGTCCACGAGCTTGCCCGGTCCACGAGCTTGCCTGGTCCACGAGCTTGCCTGGTCCAGGAGCTTGCCTGGTCTAGGATCTTGCCTGGTCCAGGACCGTGCCTGGTCCACGAGCTTGCCTGGTCCAGGAGCTTGCCTGGTCCAAAAGCTTGCCTGGTCCAAGAGCTTGCCTGGTCCCAGAGATTTCGTTGTTTAGGAGCATGCCCTGTCCAGGAGCTTGGCTGGTCCACGAGCATGGCTGGTCCACGAGCTTGCCTGGTCTAGGAGCTTGCCTAGTCCAGGACCTTGCCTGGTCTAGGAGCTTGCCTGGTCCAGGAGCGTGCCTGGTCCAGGAGCTTGCCTGGTCCAGGAGCTTGCCTGGTCCAGGAGCTTGCCTCGTCCAAGATCTTGCCTGGTCTAGGAGCTTGCCTGGTCCAGGAGCGTTCGTGGTCCAGGAGCTTGCCTGGTCTAGGAGCTTGCCTGGTCTAGGAACTTCCCTCGTCCAAGATCTTGCCTGGTCTAGGAGCGTGCCGGGTCCACGAGTTTGCCTGATCCAGGAGCTTGCCTGGTCCAAGAGCTTGCCCGGTCTAGGAGCTTGCCTGGTCCAGGAGCGTGCCTGGTCCAGGAGCTTGCCTGGTCCAGGAGCTTTGCCTGGTCCAGGAGCTTGCCTGTTCCAGGAGCGTGCCTGGTCCAGGAGCCTGCCTTGTCCTAGAGCTTTCTTGGTCCGTTAGCTTGCCTCGGACCAGGCAAGCTCCAGGATCAGGCAAGCTCCAGGACCAGGCAAGCTCCTGGACCAGGCAAGCTCCTAGACGAGGCAAGCTTATGGACTAGGCACTCTCCTGAACCAGACACATTCCAGGACCAGGCACGCTCCTGGACCAGGCCAGCTCCTGAACCAGGCAAGCTTGTGGACTAGGCAAGCTCTTGGACCAGGCAAGCTCTTGGACCAGGCAAGCTCGTGGACCACGCAAGCTCCTTGACCAGGCACGCTCCTAGACGAGGCAAGCTCATAGACTAGGCACGCTCCTGGACAAGACACATTCCGAGACCAGGCACGCTCCAGGACCAGGCCAGCTCCTGGACCAGGCAAGCTCCTTGATGAGGCAAGCTCCTGGACCAGACAAGCCCTTGGACCCGGCATGCACCTGGACCTGACAAGCTCTTGGATCTGGCAAGCTCTTGGACCAGTCAAGCTCCTGGACCAGGCAAGCTCTTGGACCAGGCAAGCTCCTGGACCAGGAAAGCTCCTGGACCAGGCAAGATCCTTGACCAAGGACGCTCCTGGACCAGACAAGCTCTAGGACGAGGCTAGCTCGTGGACCAGGCAAGCTCCAAGACTAGGCACGCTCCTGGACCAGGCAAGCTCCTGGACCAGGCACGCTCCTGGACCAGGCAAGCTCCTGGACCAAGCACGCTCCTGGACCAGGCAAGCTCCTGGACCAGGCAAGCTCATGGACCAGGCGCATTTTAGCTTCAGGCACGCTTTTGGACCAGGCAAGCTCCTGGACCAGGCAAGCTCCTTGACGAGACAACCTCCTCGACCAGGCAAGCTCTTAGACTAGGCATGCTCCTGGACTAGGCAAGCTCTTGGACCAGGCAAGCTCCTGGACCAGGCAAGCTCTTGGACCAGGCAAGCTTTTGGATCACGCAAGCTCCTAGACCAGGCACACTCCTGGACCAGGCAAGCTCCTGGATAAGGCAAGCTCTTCGACGAGGCAAGCTCCTGGACCAGGTAAGCTCCTGGACCAGGCAAGCTCTTGGACGAGGCAAGCTCTTGGACCGCGCAAGCTCCTAGACAAGGCAAGCTCCTGGACCAGGCAAGCTCCTGGACCAAGCAAGCTCCTGGACCACGCAAGCTCCTGGATCGCGCAAGCCCTTGGACCAGACATGCTCCTCGACCACGTCCACGTCCACGTCCACGTCCTCGTCCATGTCCACGTCCACGTCCACGTCCTCCACGTCCACGTCCACGTCCACGTCTACGTCCTCGTCCACGTCCACGTCCACGTCCACGTCCAAGTCCACGTCCACGTCCACGACCATGTCCACGTCCACGTTCACGTCCACGTCCACGTCCACGTCCATGTCCATGTCCACGTCCACGTCCATGTCCACGTCCACGTCCACGTCCATGTCCACGACCATGTCCACGTTCACGTCCACGTCCATGTCCACGTCCACGTCCATGTCCACGTCCACGTCCACGTCCACGTCCACGTCCAAGTCCACGTCCACGTCTACAACCACGTCCACGTCCACGTCCACGACCACGTCCACGTCCACGTCCACGTCCACGTCCACGTCCACCTCCACGTCCACGTCCAAGTCCACGTCCACGTCTACGTCCACGTCCATGTCCACGTCCATGTCCACGACCATGTCCACGTCCAAGTTCACGTCCACGTCCACGTCCCTGTCCACGTCCACGTCCACGTCCATGTCCACGTCCACGTCCACGTCCACGTTCACGTCCACGTCCACCTCCACGTCCACGTCCATGTCAACGTCCACGTCCACGTCCACGTCCACGTGCACGTCCATGTCCACGTCCACGTCCACGTCCATGTCCACGTCCACGTCCACGTCCACGTCCATGTCGACGTCCACGTCCACGTCCACGACCACGTGCACGTCCACGTCCACGTCCACGACCACCTCCATGTCCACGTCCACGTCCATCCACGACCACGTCTACGTCCACGTCCACGTCCACGTCTACGTCCACGACCATGTCCACGTCCACGTCCACGTCCACGACCATGTCCACGTCCACGTCCACGTCCACGTCCACCTCCACCTCCACGTCCACCTCCACCTCCACGTCCACCTCCATGTCCACGTCCACGTCCACCTCCATGTCCACGTCCATGTCCACGTCCACGGCCACGTCCACGTCCACGTCTACGTCCACGGCCACGTCCACGTCCACGTCCACGTCCTCGTCTACGTCCATGTCCACGTCCACATCCACGTCCACGTCCATGTCCACGTCCACGTCCACGTCCACGTCCACGTCCATGTCCATGTACACGTCCACGTCCATGTCCACGTCCATGTCCATGACCACGTCCACGTCCACGTCCACGTCCACGACAATGTCCACATCCACGTCCACGTCCACGTCCACGACAATGTCCACGTCCACGTCCACGTCCACGTCCACGTCCACGTCCACGTCCATGTCCACGTCCATGTCCAAGTCCACGTCCACGTCCACGTCCACGTCCACGGCCACGTCCACGGCCACGTCCACGTCCATGGCCACGTCCATGTCCACGTCCATGTCCACGTCCACGTTCACGTCCATGTGCACGTCCACGTCCACGTGCACGTCCACGTGTACGTCCACGTCCACGTCCACGTCCATGTGCACGTCCACGTCCATGTCCACGTCCATGTCCATGACCACGTCCACGTCCACGTCCACGTCCATGTCCACGTCCACGTCCATGTCCACGTCCATCTCCACGTCCACGTCCACGTCCACGTCCACGTCCATGTCCACGTCCACGTCCATGTCCACGTCCATGTCCACGTCCACCTCCACGTCCACGTCCATCTCCACGTCCACCTCCACGTCCACGTCCATGTCCACGTCCACGTCCACGTCCACGTCCACGTCCACGTCCACGTCCACGTCCAAGTCCATGTCCAAGTCCATCTCCACGTCCACGTCCATGTCCACGTCCATCTCCACGTCCACGTCCACGTCCACGTCCACGTCTACGTCCACGTCCACGTCCACGACCATGTCCACGTCCACGTCCACGTCCATGTCCACGTCCACGTCCACGTCCACGTCCTCGTCCATGTCCACGTCCACGTCCTCGTCCCTGTCCACGTCCACGTCTACGTCCACGTCCACGTCCACGTCCACTTCCACGTCCATGTCCACGTCCACGTCCACGTCCACGTCCATGTCCACGTCCACGTCCACGTCCACGTCCACGTCCACGTCCACGTCCACGTCCACGTCCAGGTCCACGTCCAGGTCCACGTCCACGTCCACGTCCACGTCCACGTCCACGTCCACGTCCACGTCCACGTCCACGTCCACGTCCACGTCCACGTCCACGTCCACGTCCATGTCCACGTCCAAGTCCTCCACGTCCACGTCCACGTCAACGTCCACGTCCACGACCACGTCCACGTCTACGTCCTCCACGTCCACGTCCACGTCCTCCACGTCCACGTCCTCTACGTCCACGTCCACGTCCTCCACGTCCACGTCCACGACCACGTCACGTCCACGTCCACGACCACGACCACGTCCATGTCCACGTCCACGTCCTCGTCCCTGTCCACGTCCACGTCCACGTCCACGTCCACGTCCACTTCCACGTCCATGTCCACGTCCACGTCCACGTCCACGTCCATGTCCACGTCCACGTCCACGTCCACGTCCACGTCCACGTCCACGTCCACGTCCACGTCCACGTCCACGTCCAGGTCCACGTCCACGTCCACGTCCACGTCCACGTCCACGTCCACGTCCACGTCCACGTCCACGTCCACGTCCACGTCCACGTCCACGTCCACGTCCACGTCCACGTCCACGTCCACGTCCACGTCCAAGTCCTCCACGTCCACGTCAACGTCCACGTCCACGACCACGTCCACGTCTACGTCCTCCACGTCCACGTCCACGTCCTCCACGTCCACGTCCTCTACGTCCACGTCCACGTCCTCCACGTCCACGTCCACGACCACGTCACGTCCACGTCCACGACCACGACCACGTCCATGTCCACATCCACGTCCACGACCACGTCCACGTCCACGTCCACGTCCACGTCCACGTCCACGTCCAAGTCCTCCACGTCCAAGTCCTCCACGTTCACGTCCACGTCCGTGTCCACGTCCACGTCCACGTCCCCGTCCACGTCCACGTCCACGTCCACGTCCATGACCACGTCCACGTCCACGTCCACGTCCACGTCCATGTCCACGTCCATGTCCACGTCCACGTCCACGTCCACGTCCACGTCCACGTCCACGTCCAAGTCCTCCACGTCCAAGTCCTCCACGTTCACGTCCACGTCCGTGTCCACGTCCACGTCCACGTCCCCGTCCACGTCCACGTCCACGTCCACGTCCATGACCACGTCCACGTCCACGTCCACGTCCACGTCCATGTCCACGTCCATGTCCACGTCCACGTCCACGTCCACGTCCACGTCCACGTCCACGTCCATGTCCACGTCAAAGTCCTCCACGTCCACGTCTACGTCCATGTCCACGTTCACGTCCACGTTCACGTCCACGTCCACTTCCACGTCCACGTCCACGTCCACGTCTTCGTCCACGTCCACGTCCACGTCCATGTCCACGTCCATGTCCACGTCCACGTCCATGTCCACGTCCACGTTCACGTCCATGTCCACGTTCACGTCCACGTCCACGTCCACGTCCATGTCCACGTCCATGTCCACGTCCATGTGCACGTCCATGTCCACGTCCACGTCCACGTCCACGTCCATGTCCACGTCTACCTCCACGTCTACCTCCACGTCCACGTCCATGTCCACGTCCACGTCCATGTCCACGTCTACCTCCACGTCCACGTCCATGTCCACGTCCACGTCCATGTCCACGTCCATGTCCACGTCCACGTCCACGTCCAAGTCCATGTCCACGTCCACGTCCACGTCCACGTCCAGGTCCACGTCCACGTCCATGTCCACGTCCACGTCCACGTCCACGTCCACCTCCACGTCTACCTCCACGTCCACGTCCACGTCCACGTCCACCTCCACGTCCACGTCCACGTCCACGTCCACGTCCACCTCCACGTCCACGTCCACGTCCACGTACACGTCCACGTCCACGTCCACGTCCACGTCCACGTCCACGTCCACGTCCACGTCCACGTCCACGTCCACGTCCACGTCCACGTCCATGTCCACGTCCATGTCCACGTCCATGTCCACGTCCATGTCCACGTCCACGTCCACGTCCACGTCTACCTCCACGTCCACGTCCATGTCCACGTCCATGTCCACGTCCACGTCCATGTCCACGTCCATGTCCACGTCCACGTCCACGTCCACGTCCCTGTCTATGTCCACGCCCATGTCCACGTCCACGTCCATGTCCACGTCCATGTCCACGTCCATGTCCACGTCCATGTCCACGTCCATGTCTATGTCCATGTCTATGTCCATGTCCATGTCCACGTCCACGTCCACGTCCACGTCCACGTCCACGTCCACGTCCACGTCCACGTCCACGTCCACGTCCACGTCCGCGTCCACGTCCGCGTCCACGTCCGCGTCCACGTCCGCGTCCACGTCCGCGTCCACGTCCGCGTCCACGTCCGCGTCCACGTCCGCGTCCACGTCCGCGTCCACGTCCCCGTCCCCGTCCACGTCCATCTCCACGTCCATCTCCACGTCCATCTCCACGTCCACGTCCACGTCCACGTCCACGTCCACGTCCACGTCCACGTCCACGTCCACGTCCACGTCCACGTCCAAGTCCATGTCCAAGTCCATCTCCACGTCCACGTCCATGTCCACGTCCATCTCCACGTCCACGTCCACGTCCACGTCCACGTCTGCGTCCACGTCCACGTCCACGACCATGTCCACGTCCACGTCCACGTCCATGTCCACGTCCACGTCCACGTCCACGTCCTCGTCCATGTCCACGTCCACGTCCTCGTCCATGTCCACGTCCACGTCCACGTCCACGTCCACGTCCACTTCCACGTCCATGTCCACGTCCACGTCCACGTCCATGTCCACGTCCACGTCCACGTCCACGTCCACGTCCAGGTCCACGTCCACGTCCACGTCCAGGTCCACGTCCACGTCCACGTCCAAGTCTACGTCCATGTCCACGTCCACGTCCACGTCCACGTCCACGTCCACGTCCACGTCCACGTCCACGTCCACGTCCACGTCCTGGTCCACGTCCAGGTCCACGTCCAGGTCCACGTCCACGTCCACGTCCACGTCCACGTCCACGTCCACGTCCACGTCCACGTCCACGTCCACGTCCACGTCCACGTCCACGTCCACGTCCACGTCCATGTCCACGTCCAAGTCCTCCACGTCCACGTCCACGTCAACGTCCACGTCCACGACCACGTCCACGTCCACGTCCTCCACGTCCACGTCCACGTCCTCCACGTCCACGTCCTCTACGTCCACGTCCACGTCCTCCACGTCCACGTCCACGACCACGTCACGTCCACGTCCACGACCACGACCACGTCCATGTCCACATCCACGTCCACGACCACGTCCACGTCCACGTCCACGTCCACGTCCACGTCCACGTCCAAGTCCTCCACGTCCAAGTCCTCCACGTTCACGTCCACGTCCGTGTCCACGTCCACGTCCACGTCCCCGTCCACGTCCACGTCCACGTCCACGTCCATGACCACGTCCACGTCCACGTCCACGTCCACGTCCATGTCCACGTCCATGTCCACGTCCACGTCCACGTCCACGTCCACGTCCACGTCCAAGTCCTCCACGTCCAAGTCCTCCACGTTCACGTCCACGTCCGTGTCCACGTCCACGTCCACGTCCCCGTCCACGTCCACGTCCACGTCCACGTCCACGTCCATGACCACGTCCACGTCCACGTCCACGTCCATGTCCATGTCCACGTCCATGTCCACGTTCACGTCCACGTCCACGTCCACGTCCACGTCCACGTCCACGTCCATGTCCACGTCAAAGTCCTCCACGTCCACGTCTACGTCCATGTCCACGTTCACGTCCACGTTCACGTCCACGTCCACTTCCACGTCCACGTCCACGTCCACGTCTTCATCCACGTCCACGTCCATGTCCACGTCCATGTCCACGTCCACGTCCATGTCCACGTCCACGTTCACGTCCATGTCCACGTTCACGTCCACGTCCACGTCCACGTCCATGTCCACGTCCATGTCCACGTCCATGTGCACGTCCATGTCCACGTCCACGTCCACGTCCACGTCCATGTCCACGTCTACCTCCACGTCTACCTCCACGTCCACGTCCATGTCCATGTCCACGTCCATGTCCACGGCTACCTCCACGTCCACGTCCATGTCCACGTCCACGTCCATGTCCACGTCCATGTCCACGTCCACGTCCACGTCCACGTCCATGTCCACGTCCACGTCCACGTCCACGTCCACGTCCAGGTCCACGTCCACGTCCACGTCCACGTCCACGTCCACGTCTACCTCCACGTCCACGTCCACGTCCACGTCCACCTCCACGTCCACCTCCACGTCCACGTCCACGTCCACCTCCACGTCCACGTCCACGTCCACGTCCACGTCCACGTCCACGTCCACGTCCACGTCCACGTCCACGTCCACGTCCACGTCCACGTCCACGTCCACGTCCATGTCCACGTCCATGTCCACGTCCATGTCCACGTCCATGTCCACGTCCACGTCCACGTCCACGTCTACCTCCACGTCCACGTCCATGTCCACGTCCATGTCCACGTCCACGTCCATGTCCACGTCCATGTCCACGTCCACGTCCACGTCCACGTCCCTGTCTATGTCCACGCCCATGTCCACGTCCACGTCCATGTCCACGTCCATGTCCACGTCCATGTCCACGTCCATGTCCACGTCCGTCCACGTCCACGTCCACGTCCACGTCCACGTCCACGTCCACGTCCGTCCACGTCCACGTCCACGTCCACGTCCACGTCCACGTCCACGTCCGCGTCCACGTCCACGTCCACGTCCACGTCCACGTCCACGTCCGCGTCCACGTCCACGTCCACGTCCGCGTCCACGTCCACGTCCACGTCCACGTCCACGTCAACGTCCGCGTCCACGTCCGCGTCCACGTCCACGTCCACGTCCACGTCCGCGTCCACGTCCGCGTCCACGTCTACGTCCACGTCCCCGTCCCCGTCCACCTCCACGTCCACGTCCATCTCCACGTCCAGCTCCACGTCCACCTCCACGTCCACGTCCACGTCCACGTCCACGTCCACGTCCACGTCCACGTCCAAGTCCATGTCCAAGTCCATCTCCACGTCCAAGTCCATGTCCACGTCCATCTCCACGTCCACGTCCACGTCCACGTCCACGTCCACGTCTACGTCCACGTCCACGTCCACGACCATGTCCACGTCCACGTCCACGTCCATGTCCACGTCCACGTCCACGTCCACGTCCTCGTCCATGTCCACGTCCACGTCCACGTCCACGTCCACGTCCACGTCCACGTCCACGTCCACTTCCACGTCCACGTCCACGTCCACGTCCACGTCCACGTCCATGTCCACGTCCACGTCCACGTCCACGTCCACGTCCACGTCCACGTCCACGTCCAGGTCCACGTCCACGTCCACGTCCATGTCTACGTCCACGTCCACGTCCACGTCCACGTCCACGTCCACGTCCACGTCCACGTCCACGTCCACGTCCACGTCCACGTCCAGGTCCACGTCCACGTCCACGTCCACGTCCACGTCCACGTCCACGTCCACGTCCAGGTCCACGTCCACGTCCACGTCCACGTCCACGTCCACGTCCACGTCCACGTCCACGTCCACGTCCACGTCCACGTCCACGTCCACGTCCATGTCCACGTCCAAGTCCTCCACGTCCACGTCCACGTCAACGTCCACGTCCACGACCACGTCCACGTCCACGTCCTCCACGTCCACGTCCACGTCCTCCACGTCCACGTCCTCTACGTCCACGTCCACGTCCTCCACGTCCACGTCCACGACCACGTCACGTCCACGTCCACGACCACGACCACGTCCATGTCCACATCCACGTCCACGACCACGTCCACGTCCACGTCCACGTCCACGTCCACGTCCACGTCCAAGTCCTCCACGTCCAAGTCCTCCACGTTCACGTCCACGTCCGTGTCCACATCCACGTCCACGTCCCCGTCCACGTCCACGTCCACGTCCACGTCCATGACCACGTCCACGTCCACGTCCACGTCCACGTCCATGTCCACGTCCATGTCCACGTCCACGTCCACGTCCACGTCCACGTCCACGTCCACGTCCACGTCCAAGTCCTCCACGTCCAAGTCCTCCACGTTCACGTCCACGTCCGTGTCCACGTCCACGTCCACGTCCCCGTCCACGTCCACGTCCACGTCCACGTCCATGACCACGTCCACGTCCACGTCCACGTCCACGTCCATGTCCACGTCCATGTCCACGTCCACGTCCACGTCCACGTCCACGTCCACGTCCATGTCCACGTCAAAGTCCTCCACGTCCACGTCTACGTCCATGTCCACGTTCACGTCCACGTTCACGTCCACGTCCACTTCCACGTCCACGTCCACGTCCACGTCTTCGTCCACGTCCACGTCCATGTCCACGTCCATGTCCACGTCCACGTCCATGTCCACGTCCACGTTCACGTCCATGTCCACGTTCACGTCCACGTCCACGTCCACGTCCATGTCCACGTCCATGTCCACGTCCATGTGCACGTCCATGTCCACGTCCACGTCCACGTCCACGTCCATGTCCACGTCTACCTCCACGTCTACCTCCACGTCCACGTCCATGTCCACGTCCACGTCCATGTCCACGTCTACCTCCACGTCCACGTCCATGTCCACGTCCATGTCCACGTCCACGTCCACGTCCACGTCCACGTCCACGTCCACGTCCATGTCCACGTCAAAGTCCTCCACGTCCACGTCTACGTCCATGTCCACGTTCACGTCCACGTTCACGTCCACGTCCACTTCCACGTCCACGTCCACGTCCACGTCTTCGTCCACGTCCACGTCCATGTCCACGTCCATGTCCACGTCCACGTCCATGTCCACGTCCACGTTCACGTCCATGTCCACGTTCACGTCCACGTCCACGTCCACGTCCATGTCCACGTCCATGTCCACGTCCATGTGCACGTCCATGTCCACGTCCACGTCCACGTCCACGTCCATGTCCACGTCTACCTCCACGTCTACCTCCACGTCCACGTCCATGTCCACGTCCACGTCCATGTCCACGTCTACCTCCACGTCCACGTCCATGTCCACGTCCATGTCCACGTCCACGTCCACGTCCACGTCCACGTCCACGTCCACGTCCACGTCTACCTCCACGTCCACGTCCACGTCCACGTCCACCTCCACGTCCACGTCCACGTCCACCTCCACGTCCACGTCCACGTCCACGTCCACGTCCACGTCCACGTCCACGTCCACCTCCACGTCCACGTCCACGTCCACCTCCACGTCCACGACCACGTCCACGTCCACGTCCACGTCCACGTCCACGTCCCTGTCTATGTCCACGCCCATGTCCACGTCCACGTCCATGTCCACGTCCATGTCCACGTCCATGTCCACGTCCATGTCCACGTCCACGTCCACGTCCATGTCTATGTCCATGTCCATGTCCACGTCCACGTCCACGTCCACGTCCACGTCCACGTCCACGTCCACGTCCACGTCCACGTCCACGTCCACGTCCACGTCCACGTCCGCGTCCACGTCCACGTCGACGTCCACGTCCGCGTCCACGTCCGCGTCCACGTCTACGTCCACGTCCCCGTCCACGTCCACGTCCACGTCGTCCACGACCACGTCCACGTCCACGTCCACGTCGTCCACGACCACGTCCACGTCCACGTCCACGTCCACGTCCGTGTCCACGTCCATGTCCGCGTCCACGTCCACGACGTCCACGACCACGTCCACGTCCACGTCCACGTCCACGTCCGTGTCCACGTCCATGTCCGCGTCCACGTCCACGACGTCCACGTCCACGTCCATGTCCACGTCCACGTCCACGTCGTCCACGTCCACGTCCACGTCCACGTCCACGTCCATGTCCACGTCCACGTCGACGTCCACGTCCACGTCCACGTCCACGTCAACGTCCACGTCCACGTCCAAGTCCTCCACGTCCACGTCCACGTCCATGTGCACGTCCACGTCCACGTCCAGGTCCACGTCCACGTCCACGTCTACGTCCACATCCATGTGGACGTCCACGTCCATGTCCACGTCCACGTCCATAACCACGTCCACGTCCACGACAATGTCCACGTCCACGTCCACGTCCACGTCCACGACAATGTCCACGTCCACGTCCACGTCCACGTCCACGTCCAGGTCCACGTCCACGGCCACGTCCACGGCCACGTCCACGGCCACGGCCACGTCCACGGCCACGTCCACGTCCACGTCCACGTCCATGGCCACGTCCACGGCCACGTCCACGTCCACGTCCACGGCCACGTCCACGGCCACGTCCACGGCCACGTCCACGTCCACGTCCACGTCCACGTCCACGTCCACGGCCACGTCCACGTCCACGTCCACGTCCACGTCCACGTCCACGTCCACGTCCACGTCCACGTCCACAGCCACGTCCACGGCCACGTCCACGTCAACGTCCACGTCCATGGCCACGTCCATGGCCACGTGCATGGCCACGTCCACGTCCACGTCCACGTCCACGTCCATGTGCACGTCCACGTCCACGTCCACGTCCACGTCCAGGACCACGTCCACGTCCACGTCCACGTCCACGTCCATGGCCACGTCCATGGCCACGTCCACGTCCACGTCCACGACAATGTCCACGTCCACGTCCACGTCCACGTCCACGTCCATGTGCACGTCCACGTCCATGTCCACGTCCACGGCCACGTCCACGTCCACGTCCACGTCCATGGCCACGTCCACGTCCACGACAATGTCCACGGCCACGTCCACGTCCACGTCCACGTCCACGTCCACGACAATGTCCACGTCCACGTCCACGTCCACGTCCACGTCCATGTCCACGTCCAGGTCCACGTCCACGTCCACGTCCACGTCCACGGCCACGTCCACGTCCACGTCCATGGCCACGTCCACGTCCACGTCCATGTCCACGTCCACGTTCACGTCCATGTGCACGTCCACGTCCACGTGCACGTCCACGTACACGTCCACGTCCACGTCCATGTCCATGACCACGTCCACGTCCACGTCCACGTCCACGTCCACGACAATGTCCACGTCCACGTCCACGTCCACGTCCACGTCCACGTCCACGTCCACGTCCACGACAACGTCCACGTCCACGTCCACGTCCACGTCCACGTCCACGTCTAGTTCCACGTCCACGTCCACGTCCAGTTCCACGTCCACGTCCACGTCCACGTCCACGTCCACGTCCACGTCCACGTCCACGTCCAGGTCCACGTCCAGGTCCACGTCCACGTCCATGTCCACGTCCACGTCCACGTCCACGTCCACGTCCACGTCCACGTCCACGTCCACGTCCACGTCCACGTCCAGGTCCACGTCCACGTCCACGTCCACGTTCACGTCCACGTCCACGTCCACGTCCACGTTCACGTCCACGTCCACGTCCACGTCCACGTCCACGTCCACGTCCCCTGTCCACGTCCACGTCCACGTCCACGTCCTGTCCACGTCCACGTCCACGTCCACGTCCTGTCCACGTCCACGTCCACGTCCACGTCCACGTCCACGTCCACGTCCACGTCCAGTCCACGTCCACGTCCACGTCCACGTCCATGTCCACGTCCACGTCCACGTCCCGTCCACGTCCACGTCACGTCCACGTCCACGTCCACGTCCAGGTCCACGTCCACGTCCACGTCCACGTCCACGTCCATGTCCACGTCCACGTCGACGTCGACGTCCACGTCCACGTCCACGTCCACGTCCACGTCCACGTCCACGTCCATGTCCACGTCCACGTCCACCACCACGACCATGTCCACGTCCACATCCACGTCCACGTCCACGTCCACGTCCACGTCCACGTCCACGTCCCCGTCCACGTCCGCGTCCACGTCCACGTCGGCGTCCACGTCCGCAGACGTGCGTCCGCGTCCGCGTCCCCGTCCGCAGACGTGCGTCCGCGTCCGCGTCCGCGTCCCCGTCCGCGTCCACGTCCGCGTCCGCGTCCGCGTCCACGTCCCCGTCCGCGTCCGCGTCCGCGTCCACGTCCACGTTCACGTCCACGTCCACGTCCACGACAAGGTCCACGTCCACGTCCACGTCCACGTCCACGTCCATGTCCACGTCCACGTCCACGTCCACGTCCACGTACACGTCCACTTCCACGTCCACTTCCACGTCCACGTCCACGTCCACGTCCACGTCCATGTCCACGTCCACGTCCACGACAATGTCCACGACAATGTCCATGTTCACGTCCACGACAATGTCCACGTCCACGTCCAAGTGCACGTCCACTTCCAGGTCCACGTCCAGGTCCAGGTCCACGTCCACGTCCACGTCCACGTCCATGTCCACGTCCACGTCCACGTCCACGTCCACGTCCACGTCCACGACGACGTCCACGTCCACGTCCACGTCCACGTCCACGACAAGGTCCACGTCCACGTCCACGTCCACGTCCATGTCCACGTCCAGGTCTACGTCCACGTCCACGTCCACGTCCACGTCCATGTCTACGTCCATCTCCACGTCCACGTCCACGTCCACGTCCACGTCCATGTCCACGTCCATGTCCACGTCCACGTCCACGTCCACGTCCACGTCCACGTCCACGTCAACGTCCACGTCCACGTCCACGGCCACGTCCACGTCCACGTCTACGTCCACGTCCACGTCCACGTCCACGACAATGTCCACGTCCACGTCCACGACAATGTCCACGTCCACGTCCAAGTGCACGTCCATGTCCACGTCCATGTCCACGTCCACGTCCACGTCCACGTCCATGTCCACGTCCACGTCCACGTCCATCTCCATGTCCATGTCCACGTCCACGTCTATGTCCATGTCCACGTCCACGTCCATGTCCACGTCCACGTCCACGTCCACGTCCATCTCCATGTCCACGTCCACGTCCACGGCCACGTCTACGTCCACGTCCACGTCCACGTCCACGTCCACGTCCACGACAATGTCCACGTCCACGTCCACGACAATGTCCACGTCCACGTCCAAGTGCACGTCCATGTCCACGTCCATGTCCACGTCCACGTCCACGTCCATGTCCATGTCCATGTCCACGTCCATCTCCATGTCCATGTCCACGTCCATGTCTATGTCCATGTCCACGTCCACGTCCACGTCCACGTCCACGTCCACGTCCACGTCCAGGTCCATGTCCACGTCCACGTCCACGTCCACGTCCATGTCCCCGTCCACGTCCACGTCCACGTCCAAGTCCTCCACGTCCACGTCCACGTCCACGTCCATGTCCACGTCCACGTCCACGTCCACGACCGGTCCACGTCCACGTCCATGTCCACGACCACGTCCACTTCCACGTCCACGTCCACGTCCACGTCCACGTCCACGTCCATGTCCACGTCCACCTCCTCCACGTCCATGTCCACGTCCACGTCCACGTCCACGTCCACGTCCATGTCCCCGTCCACGTCCACGTCCACGTCCAAGTCCTCCACGTCCACGTCCACGTCCACGTCCATGTCCACGTCCACGTCGACGTCCACGACCGGTCCACGTCCACGTCCATGTCCACGACCACATCCACTTCCACGTCCACGTCCACGTCCACGTCCACGTCCATGTCCACGTCCACGTCCACGTCCACGACCGGTCCACGTCCACGTCCACGTCCACGTCCACGTCCACGTCCACGTCCACGTCCACGTCCACGTCCTCCACTTCCACGTCTATGTCCACGTCCACGTCCACGACCACGTCCACGTCCACGTCCACGTCCACGACCACGTCCACGTCCACGTCCACGTCCACGTCCACGTCCACGACCACGTCCACGTCCACGTCCACGACCACGTCCACGTCCACGTCCACGTCCACGTCCACGTCCACGTCCAGGTCTACGTCCACGTCCACGCCCACGTCCACGACCACGTCCACGTCCACGTCCATGTCCACGTCCATGTTCACGTCCACGTCCATGTCCACGTCGACGTCCATGTCCACGTCCATCTCCACGTCCACGTCCACGTCCACGTCCACGTCCACGTGCACGTCCACGTCCACGTCCATGTCCACGTCCACGTCCACGTCCATGTCCACGTCCACGTCCACGTCCACGTCCACGTCCACGTCCACGTCCATCTCCACGTCCACGTCCACGTCCACGTCCACGTCCAGGTCCACGTCCACGTCCATGTCCACGTCCACGTCTACGTCCACGCGTCCACGTCCACGTCCACGTTCACGTCCACGTCCACGTCCCCTGTCCACGTCCACGTCCACGTCCTGTCCACGTCCACGTCCACGTCCACGTTCACGTCCACGTCCACGTCCACGTTCACGTCCACGTCCACGTCCACCGTCCACGTCCACGTCCACGTCCACGTCCACGTCCACGTCCACGTCCACGTCCACGTCCACGTCCAGTCCACGTCCACGTCCACGTCCACGTCCACGTCCACGTCCACGTCCCGTCCACGTCCACGGCCACGTCCACGTCCACGTCCACGTCTAGGTCCATGTCCACGTCCACGTCCATGTCCACGTTCACGTCCACGTCCACGTCCACGTCCAGGTCCACGTCCAGGTCCACGTCCAGGTCCACGTCCACGTCCACGTCCACGTCCACGTCCACGTCCACGTCCACGTCCACGTCCGCGTCGGCGTCCGCGTCCGCGTCCCCGTCCGCGTCCACGTCCGCGTCCACGTCCACGTCCACGTCCACGTCCACGTCCACGACAAGGTCCACGTCCACGTCAACGTCCACGACAATGTCCACGTCCACGTCCACGTCCACGTCCACGACAACGTCCACGTCCACGTCCACGTCCACGTCCACGTCCACGTCCACGTCCATGTCCACGTCCACGTCCACGTCCAGTTCACGTCCACGTCCAGTTCCACGTCCACGTCCACGTCCACGTCCACGTCCACGTCCAGGTCCACGTCCAGGTCCATGTCCAGGTCCACGTCCACGTCCACGTCCACGTCCACGTCCACGTCCACGTCCACGTCCAGGTCCACGTCCACGTCCACGTCCACGTCCATGTCCACGTCCACGTCCACGTCCACGTCCATGTCCACGTCCACGTCCACGTCCACGTCCACGTCCACGTCCAGGTCCACGTCCACGTCCACGTCCACGTCCACGTCCACGTCCATGTCCACGTCCACGTCTACGTCCATGCGTTCACGTCCACGTCCACGTCCACGTCCATGTCCACGTCCACGTCCACGTCCACGTCCACGTCCACGTTCACGTCCACGTTCACGTCCACGTTCATGTCCACGTCCACGTCCACCGTCCACGTCCACGTCCACGTCCACGTCCACGTCCACGTCCACGTCCACGTCCACGTCCACGTCCACGTCTACGTCCATGTCCACGTCCACGTCCACGTCCACGTCCTGTCCACGTCCACGTCCACGTCCACGTCCACGTCCATGTCCACGTCCACGTCCACCGTCCACGTCCACGTCCACGTCCACGTCCACGTCCACGTCGATGACCACGTCCACGTCCACGTCCACGTCCACGTCCATGTCCACGTCCACGTCCAGTCCACGTCCACGTCCACGTCCACGTCCATGTCCACGTCCACGTCCACGTCCCGTCCACGTCCACGTCCCGTCCACGTCCACGTCCACGTCCACGTCCACGTCCACGTCCACGTCTACGTCCACGTCCACGTCCACGTCCACGTCCACGTCCACGTCCACGTCCACGTCCACGTCCACGTCCATGTCCACGTCCACGTCCACGTCCACGTCCACGTCCACGTCCACGTCCACGTCCACGTCCACGTCCACGTCCATGTCCACGTCCACGTCCACCACCACGACCATGTCCACGTCCACGTCCACGTCCACGTCCATGTCCACGTCCACGTCCACGTCCACGTCCACGTCCACGTCCGCGTCGGCGTCCACGTCCGCGTCCCCGTCCGCAGACGTGCGTCCGCGTCCGCGTCCCCGTCCGCAGACGTGCGTCCGCGTCCGCGTCCGCGTCCCCGTCCGCGTCCACGTCCGCGTCCGCGTCCGCGTCCGCGTCCCCGTCCGCGTCCACGTCCCCGTCCGCGTCCACGTCCACGTCCACGACAAGGTCCACGTCCACGTCCACGTCCACGTCCACGTCCACGTCCACGTCCACGTCCACGTCCACGTCCATGTCCACGTCCACGTCCACGTCCACGTCCACGTCCACGTCCACGTCCACGTCCATGTCCACGTCCACGTCCACCACCACGACCATGTCCACGTCCACGTCCACGTCCACGTCCACGACCACGTCCACGTCCACGTCCACGTCCACGTCCACGACAAGGTCCACGTCCACGTCCACGTCCATGTCCACGTCCAGGTCTACGTCCACGTCCACGTCCACGTCCACGTCCATGTCTACGTCCATCTCCACGTCCACGTCCACGTCCACGTCCACGTCCACGTCCACGTCCACGACAACGTCCACGTCCACGTCCAAGTGCACGTCCACGTCCATGTCCACGTCCACGTCCACGTCCACGTCCATGTCCACGTCCACGTCCACGTCCATGTCCACGTCCACGTCCATGTCTATGTCCATGTCCACGTCCACGTCCACGTCCACGTCCACGTCCACGTCCATGTCCCCGTCCACGTCCACGTCCACGTCGAAGTCCTCCACGTCCACGTCCACGTCCACGTCCATGTCCACGTCCACGTCCACGACCGGTCCACGTCCACCTCCATGTCCACGTCCACGTTCACGTCCACGTCCACGTCCACGTCCATGTCCACGTCCACGTCCACGTCCACGTCCACTTCCACGTCCACGTCCACGTCCACGTCCACGTCCATGTCCACGTCCACGTCCTCCACGTCCATGTCCACGTCCACGTCCACGTCCACGTCCACGTCCATGTCCCCGTCCACGTCCACGTCCACGTCCAAGTCCTCCACGTCCACGTCCACGTCCACGTCCATGTCCACGTCCACGTCGACGTCCACGACCGGTCCACGTCCACGTCCATGTCCACGACCACATCCACTTCCACGTCCACGTCCACGTCCACGTCCATGTCCACGTCCACGTCCACGTCCACGACCGGTCCACGTCCACGTCCACGTCCACGACCACGTCCACGTCCACGTCCACGTCCACGTCCATGTCACGTCCACGTCCATGTCCACGTCCACGTCCAGTCCACGTCCATGTCCACGTCCACGTCCACGTCCACGTCCATGTCCACGTCCACGTCCACGTCCACGTCCACGTCACGTCCATGTCCACGTCCACGTCCTCCACTTCCACGTCTATGTCCACGTCCACGTCCACGACCACGTCCACGTCCACGTCCACGTCCACGACCACGTCCACGTCCACGTCCACGTCCACGACCACGTCCACGTCCACGTCCACGACCACGTCCACGTCCACGTCCACGACCACGTCCACGTCCACGTCCACGTCCACGTCCAGGTCTACGTCCACGTCCACGTCCACGTCCACGACCACATCCACGTCCACGTCCATGTCCACGTCCATGTTCACGTCCACGTCCATGTCCACGTCCACGTCCACGTCCACGTCCATCTCCACGTCCACGTCCACGTCCACGTCCACGTCCACGTCCATGTCCACGTCCACGTCCACGTCCACGTCCACGTCCACGTCCACGTCCACGTCCATCTCCACGTCCACGTCCACGTCCACGTCCACGTCCACGTCCACGTCCACGTCCACGTCCATGTCCACGTCTACGTCCACGCGTCCACGTCCACGTTCACGTCCACGTCCACGTCCACGTTCATGTCCACGTCCACGTCCCCTGTCCACGTCCTGTCCACGTCCACGTCCACGTCCACGTCCACGACCACGTCCACGACCACGTCCACGTCCACGTCCACGTCCACGTCCAGGTCCACGTCCACGTCCACGTCCACGTCCACGTCCACGTCCACGTCCACGTCCACGTCCACGTCCGCGTCCACGTCCATGTCCCCGTCCATGTCCACGTCCATGTCCACGTCCATGTCCACGTCCGCGTCCGCGTCCCCGTCCGCGTCCACGTCCCCGTCCGCGTCGGCGTCCGCATCCGCGTCCACGTCCGCGTCCGCGTCCGCGTCCGCGTCCCCGTCCGCGTCCGCGTCCCCGTCCGCGTCGGCGTCCACGTCCGCGTTCCCGTCCGCGTCCACGTCCGCGTCCGCGTCCGATCCGCGTCCCCGTCCGCGTCCGCGTCCACGTCTACGTCCACGTCCACATCAACGACAAGGTCCACGTCCACGTCCACGTCCACGTCCACGTCCACGTCCACGTCCACGTCCACTTCCAGGTCCACGTCCACGTCCACGTCCATGTCCACGTCCACGTCCACGGCCACGTCCACGTCCACGACAATGTCCATGTTCACGTCCACGTCCACGTCCACGACAATGTCCACGTCCACGTCCAAGTGCACGTCCACTTCCAGGTCCACGTCCACGTCCACGTCCATGTCCACGTCCACGTCCACGTCCACGTCCACGTCCACGTCCACGTCCACGTCCACGTCCACGACCACGTCCACGTCCACGTCCACGTCCACGTCCACGACAACGTCCACGTCCACGTCCACGTCCACGTCCACGTCCATGTCCACGTCCAGGTCCACGTCCATGTCCACGTCCAGGTCCACGTCCACGTCCACGTCCATGTCCACGTCCATCTCCACGTCCACGTCCACGTCCACGTCCACGTCCACGTCCACGTCCACGTCCACGTCCACGTCCACGTCCAGGTCCACGTCCACGTCCATGTCCACGTCCACGTCCATGTCCACGTCCATGTCCACGTCCACGTCCACGTCCACGTCCACGTCCACGTCAACGTCCACGTCCACGTCCACGGCCACGTCCATGTCCACGTCCACGGCCACGTCCACGTCCACGTCCACGTCCACGTCCACGTCCACGACCACGTCCACGTCCATGTCCACGGCCACGTCCACGTCCACGACAATGTCAACGTCCACGTCCACGTCCACGACAATGTCCACGTCCACGTCCAAGTGCACGTCCATGTCCACGTCCATGTCCACGTCCACGTCCACGTCCATGTCCACGCCCACGTCCACGTCCACGTCCACGTCTATGTCCATGTCCACGTCCATCTCCATGTCCATGTCCACGTCCATGTCTATGTCCATGTCCACGTCCACGTCCACGTCCACGTCCACGTCCACGTCCACGTCCACGTCCAGGTCCACGTCCACGTCCACGTCCACGTCCACGTCCACGTCCATGTCCCCGTCCACGTCCACGTCCACGTCCAAGTCCTCCACGTCCACGTCCACGTCCACGTCTACGTCCATGTCCACGTCCACGTCCACGTCCACCACCGGTCCACGTCCACGTCCATGTCTACGACCACGTCCACTTCCACGTCCACGTCCACGTCCACGTCCACGTCCATGTCCACGTCCACGTCCTCCACGTCCATGTCCACGTCCACGTCCCACGTCCACGTCCATGTCCCGTCCACGTCCACGTCCACGTCCACGTCCAAGTCCTCCACGTCCACGTCCACGTCCACGTCCACGTCCATGTCCACGTCCACGTCGACGTCCACGACCGGTCCACGTCCACGTCCATGTCCACGACCACGTCCACTTCCACGTCCACGTCCACGTCCACGTCCACGTCCATGTCCACGTCCACGTCCACGTCCACGACCGGTCCACGTCCACGTCCACGTCCACGTCCACGTCCATGTCCCACGTCCACGTCCATGTCCACGTCCACGTCCACGTCCAGTCCACGTCCACGTCCAGTCCACGTCCACGTCCACGTCCACGTCCACGTCCACGTCCACTCCACGTCCATGTCCACGTCCACGTCCTCCACTTCCACGTCCATGTCCCGTCCCCGTCCACGACCACGTCCACGTCCACGTCCACGTCCACGGAGCACGTCCACGTCCACGTCCACGTCCACGACCACGTCCACGACCACGTCCACGACCACGTCCACGTCCACGTCCACGTCCACGACCACGTCCACGTCCACGTCCATGTCACGTCCACGTCCACGTCCAGGTCTACGTCCACGTCCACGTCCACGTCCACGACCACGTCCACGTCCACGTCCATGTCCACGTCCATGTTCACGTCCACGTCCATGTCCACGTCCACGTCCCACGTCCACGTCCATCTCCACGTCCACGTCCACGTCCACGTCCACGTCCA